CTACTCCAACCGAGATCGCTCTATCTGCATCCCTCTAGCTCTTGCTATTCGACCTTCCGTGATCTTGCTTTCAAGGGAGGAAATCGTAGAGGATGTCTTCGTTCTCATAGGATACTAATCTCAATGCCAGCCAAGGAAATTAACTTTTTTAATTTTCCATTATTTTTGCATACATTTTTCCAAGGGCTCCGGCTACCAGAGATTATGTTGGTGTTGTACAACATCCTAAAATATTCTTTTGCCAATGTGATTAATCTCACCTCTGGCGACAAAATTGCGCTTCTCCGCTTCTTTTTCTGATTAAACATGGAATTAGATTGATCAATGGCTAATTCTTCTTTTTTGAATGTAACTGAATTATTTTGTGCTTTTATTTGAATAAAGAAAGTGGCAACAGAAGTTTTAAAGGAGATATCTTCCAAATATATATATTTTTTAATGTTAAGCAATTTTCTGAAAGCCTTCTTTGTTCATTTATACATCAGAGCGGACTATAAATCGAAGTTTTCATATTAAAAAGCAGGAGAAGGAAGAGTAAAGACATCAAAGTCATCGCCTCGACCAACTCCTCAAATATAAAATTCATGTTTTATAAAGCATAAACAATATCTTTTTATTCAGTTAAAATTTTCATTCTATAATGTACTGATTTGATCTCATATAAAGTAGATGATTTGAAGATTTGAACATTTTATTTTTAATATGTCTGTCCCCTTAATTTTATAAAAGAACTTTGCATTTGATTTTTGGGATGTTTATTGATATGTTGATATATTTATATTTAATAATTTTACAATTATTTTTTGATGTCTTTGCCTTGTTAATTTTTTTATCATTTTAATAGCATCACCCCCACACTCGCAACATTGCCAACAAATGGTAGATGATACAAATAACTTTTTTATGATTTTAAGAGCCAACTCATTAAAAATTATTTTTACTAGAGAAACTAGTTTTTAATGAATTCATTAAATCTTAGATCTAAATTATTACAAAAAAGTTTAACAGTTAATCCCAGTCCTAAGCCCGAATGAAAACATGAAAAAAAATTTTAAAAATGTTATTTTGTGCCCTCGCTTTAAAATTCTTATGGCTATGACATTGGTTAAAACATAAGAGTTTGGTGGAATAGACATATTGCCAGCAGATTCTTGCAATCTTTATGGGGAAGTGTGGGTGTCTGAGAAATCTTGCAGGGTTAGGGGAACCTAACTATAAAATGGATTTCAAAGCTTGTTATATCTCAAAATAGAGTATGACGTAATAGGCACCGATTCACAACTATAATAGAAAAATACTTTGAGAAATTTAGATTTTATTATACAATTCCTCAAACCAATTAAAAAACCTTTCACACTTATTTTTTCACTTTAAATTAGGATTTTAAACACTTTTAAAACTTAAAAAATTTGTAAAACTTTGGATTGAACTTAGGATCAGTGAACTAGAGTGGTTAAACTTCTTGGAAAAATAACTCATTCCGCATTAGATTGATTATATAGATTTATAATTCGTATACTATTTAATCAACATATATACTTGCGAGATTAATGTGTGCCTCAGTGCACAATGGATCATATAGTAATAAAAAATTCTATTTAGTTTCAAAGAGACGGTAAATTAAGGATTCTTTCATATAATGTTCAGGGTACAGATATAGATATTATTGTCTCTATGTCAATGACTAATAGGATATGTAATCATCTAATGTGAAAATGAAAGCTAAAATTTGAGAAAAGACATTGACAATGCTATTGCTACACTCTTCCCTTCTCTATTATAGAGATTTCTCTATAATGGTCAAAAGATTCCCTTTTTAATAGATATTTTAGATTCTTTCATATAATGTTCAAGGTACGAATATAGACATTATTGTCTCTATGTCAATGACTAATAGGAAATGTAACCATCTAATGTGAAGATGAAAGCTAAAATTGGAGAAAAAGACATTGACAATGATATTGCTACTTTCTTCCCTTCTCTATTATAGAGATTTCTCTATAATGGTCGCAAGATTCCCTTTTTAATAGAACCAAAATGACCAATACCTCCCTTCCACCTTTCACATCTCCCCTCTCTCTCCATCTTCCATCTATTAACTTGCATTTATGGCATGTTTTTAAACAACATACAATTATTCCATTATATAATGCTTAGAAATTCAAAACATCAATTTTGTAGAAATTAGTTCGTGGCAAATAGCATATATAAATTATGTTGAGGGTGACGGGTAGCAAACTTTTAGAGGTTAGGTAAACAGTAGTAGATAACTCTACATAAATATATTACAGAAATTTAACCCACAACTAAAAATAAAAAAGTTGATAGTAGCTATCTTACAAATTATAGCATATTTAAATTTGAGTAAAGTGCAAAAATAGCCCCTTGACTATTCGCATTGGGTGGGTCCCAAAGTCTATAAAAGTGTCTAATTAGTCCTCAAGTTTTTTTTAATATGGACTGAATTAACAATATGGGGGACGATTTTAGCCCCTTTTATGAGATTCTAGGGACTAAATTCACACTTTATAAAATTTAAAACTAAAATAACTCTCGACAAGGAGTCAGGGATCATTTTGACATTTTTCTCATTTAAATTTAATATTTCAAGTTAATAATTTGTCATAATCATGCACCATATGTTGGTGTGGGCATTAAAAATATAAAATAATCATATAAGCAACATACTTGAGAAAATTTGTGATTTAAAAATATACAATTAATAGATATGCTAGAGATTTAATAAATATACAATTATTTTATTGCATATTATTGATTATGTTTTATACCATTTTATGCATATATATAGTTGTTTGCCTTTTTTTGTTAGGTATGTTAGACATAACTATATTATGATATTTCTCTGCTATGTGCATGTCGGTATGTTGCAAAGAATGGGATGATGGTATGTTGCAAAGAATGGGAAGTTCAAAAACCAACTCAATTTTTTCAAGCATGGTTATTAATGCTTTGAAAAGGCATTTAAAAATGGTAGGTTTGCATACTTTCAAAACAACATCTTTCTACTTTGCCTTTTGGATAGAAGCTCAGAAAAAAAAGGATAGATGAAATGGTTTATAAAAGACCACGTTGCTTTATATCATCAAAAAGATGGAATGGTTTATGAAAACCACCAATAGTGGATCCCTACCTTCGTGGCGTTTTGATAAGAATGCTCAAAGGAAAAAAGCAACATTAAATGGTGCAATAAAGAGGGAATACAATCTGTAAAGAGTGAACTCAGATCCCATCCTTTTAGTGATGCATTATGTGGTTTAGCAGTTAAGTTGAGCTTATCTCTCAACAAGTCCCAGTGGTAATTCCTGCAAGTTTCATGATGTCACTTATACCCTTTGAAGATTCGCCATAAGTGAAAGTGACTTTGAGGCCACTTATGGACTTTCAGTGAATCCCTAAAAACTATTGTAAGAATCAAGGTTAAGTGCATGCTATGAAATTGCTACCGAAAAAATTAATCCCAACACTCCTTCAATTATGTGTATCTACAAAGGATTCAATAAGGAATTTGGTTCAAAATTTTATTTCGCTATCGATCATCGTTCTTATGAAATCATTATCATTGTTCTTATGAAATCATTCATTGTTCTTATGAAAATGAAATCATTACAAAATGTAGGATTACGGCATCTCAATCCTTGTAGTACAATGCATAATAGTGAGCCAATATTGTTTGAATGTTTTTTTTTTCTTGCTCAATTTTTATTTTTGAAATTTACAAAGAGATTTTAAAAGGTATTAAATTTAAAATATTTATGAACAGGTCTTTATCCCATAACAGAATTGATTAACATCCAAACCACTTACATCAACTATTTCTCCCCATTCCGGACTTTAAAATCTGGTTATTAATGTTCAAGCTAGTTATATTATACCTAAGCTCTTCTCATAAAAACTGTTCAAGCTATTAACATTATAAATGGAAAAAGCAATGCATGTTTTTTTAAACAGTCTTTGTCGGCTACATAGCCTCTCTTGGAAAAACAATTTTTTGTTAATCTTGTAATTTGGATTTTAGATGGAGATGGAAAGGAATGTAGATTCTACAAAAACTTTTATATTATTGTGTTAAATTCGATGCAAGAAATAAACCTTAGAAATGATCTTAGGAGCACTTGTATTGATAAACCCATCAGATGAAAGAGGCATTCATTGTTCTATGCACAAAGATTTAATTTCACCTTTTCAAGCTTGTTTTCCTCCATGCTTATCAATATTGTTTCGTAAAAATTTTCTCCATGCAAATATTATATTCCTTGGCGATGAAAGATCTGCTTAAGTTAAACATATTTGAAATATCTAAATTTTTTTAGTTATCATATATTTCCAACACATCATATAAAGGCGTTAAGACAAATATTATTTATTAAGCTAAACTAATGATTTCAAGGCGTTAAACAAGTAGTATCCAAAAGCTCAAAGGCCAATGGCAAAAGAACAAAATCATTCATGTTGCAAATAAGGAAAAAGGAACTTCATGAAATTCATGAGATGACCATAGACTAAACTGATGAAGGAAATAACAACATTAAAGAGGCACCACGATAGAATTTTCTATAAAAATGATCAGCTGAGATGGAGAAACATATAAAAAAATGATGGAATAATAAACTCCTACTTTATTTGTTATCAACCATGGTCATTTGCTTGGAAGTGAATCAGTAAAAGGTGCAATCTATCAAATAGAATCCACAATAAGATCCCTACAAATATTAAAGTTCCATACCCAAACGCCTAACAAAAACTTGTTCATTGAGTTTTGATGGAGATAGCATGAAGAAGATGCTACCTTTCACACGCATTCTCCTTTCGAGCATCATATAATCACTACACGCATAAATGTTTGTCCTTCCATTTCCCTTTCAGTCTATAAGCGAGAAATACCAATCAATGCAAATATTCAAATTTCGCAACTACTATTAGAGTTTTATAATTTGTACCATAAATCATGTAAGAGAAAGTAACCATTAATGATTAAAAACCTTGATCTTCGTCATCCAGAGAGGCATCATCGTCGTCGTTGATCTCTACAGCCTCAACTCCAGCATTGTCACTTTCAAGAGCCTCCAGACGTGCAAGCGCTGCCTATTAGTAAAACAATAAATAAAAAAATTACAATAACACCATTATATCTTTGAATTTCTATGTATTAGTCGTACTTAACCTGTGTCCTGTTATCTGTGCTGGCAAGAGCGGCAGCCATCTTGGAAGCGACTTTCCTCGTCCGAGCCGACGTCCGACGGAAAGGGCCGATGTTCTCTTCATCCATGGAATCTCGCCTCTAGGGGAAGCAAAACGAATCAGGGTTAGAATTGGGGGTTTCGGAGAGCAGATGAGCCAAATTCGAAGCTTATGGGGGTGACAAGGAAAACCGTATAGGCGGAATACGCTGAAACTAATAGCTAAGAGCTGGGCTGTGGTTCGGGCTTTCCAGGAGCCCGTAGGCATCGCGATAAGGTGGGATGTACATTTTAGAGTTGGGCTGATTTTAATTATTTTAATGTAATATGATAATTTTTAAAAAAAAAATTCAAATATGATGTAGAGAAAAAATGATATTATATGCCTAATAATAATTGAAATTGGCAAAATTTCTCTATTATTTATTTTAATGGATAAATTTGGCTCTACCTTGGGCCAATATGACTTGGTTAAGTTAATCTGAACAGGACAACCCTTAGTGATTCTATGGGACTCACAAAACATAAATCACTTCTTCCCTCGGTAATTTATTTTTTGATAAATCTATCGAGCTCAAGGATCACCAAGAATCATATTTTAGGCAATCCAAACTTTAAAAACACATGGTCAACCTAACTTAATCATATGAACTATTAATGTATTAATTAATCAAATTTCTACCAAATCAATCTAGTTAAGCTTCATTTAGTGTCCAATAAAATTATGAGCCCAAGAAGATGTTTTAATTATCCTGATCCCACTTAAAAATTTTGTCAACCTTATTTGACCAAATGACCCTTTTTAAGTCCATTAAGCACAATTCGAACCAAACCCTAAATCCACTTGGAAGAGTGAACTCCAATTGAATATGGGTGATCTTAGAAGCATAAAAAATTCTCCTTGAGATCCTTAAACCAACGTTGCACTCAAAGCTAGCTTAAATAGGCTTTAACTTGTTAATGACATACTAAGGGCATGGCAATTCAATCTAAATTACATCAAATTTTAAATCCCACCAAACCTTTGTTAGGATATTTGATACACCGAAAATATATGCATTTTTAGGCCCATATTTTATACTTATTTTTGGTGATATTGCACTTTAATAGAAGGTATTTTGATTTTTTTCTTACAGGTTGTTGTTTTTTTAGGACTTAAAGCAAAAATAAAGCAAAAACAAAGAAATTTGGAGTCAAAATGACGTTTTTGAGGAAATATTCAGCGCCGACAACGCTAAGGTTAGCGCCGACAACGCTAAGGTTAGCGCCGACGGCGCAGAACAACTGAAAGCTAGAAAATTTTTACTCAGTACTGATGGCACCAGACTAGCGCCGACGGCGCCAAAGGAAGTTTAGACCCCGTTTCTAGAAGGTTTGATGCATTTGGACGATTTTTTAAGAGTTTTTGGAGGCACCTCTTGCAGAACCGACCTTGTTATTTGGGGCCTAATTTCATCAGAAAAAAGGGGCTCCTCTACGTTCATTTTTTTATCCACAACATTCCACCACGCCACATTTTCATAATCCATATTCATTCCACCACCATATTGGAGTCAATTAGTGATTTTGCTTTCATAGTTTAGAGTTTTTATGGTGAGATTTAGTGTGAAACTTTCTGTAAGAGTGTTGGAGAAGGATAAAAGTGAGAGGGTTCTTCTTCCTGCATTTATAAGGAAAGACTAAAAAGGATTTGCTTTGAGAAAGAATTCCAAATAAGTTTGTTTATTTATTTAGTGTTGTATGAACTTTCTTTTATATATGAAATTTGTGTTATGTCGTATATTTCTCATGAAGTCTGAGTAGTTCCCTTTATCTTTCTCCTTACTCTGAGATATGGTGAAATGAAGAGATAAAATAAATGTGTCATAATTAAAATATAAAATAAATTGTGATGATTTTTCAACTCCGAACTTAATTTACTTTTCAATCTGGTCAATTAATTTGTTAAAATATGTTATGAAATATATGATCGTGGAAATGGAGTATGAGTTCTACAACAGAGTGAGGGTCGCATTTGATTTCATGAAGGAGAAATTCGTTCAAGAAATTAAGTGCAAATAAATAGGGAAATATTCTTTGTTGGGTGTAGAACTGGAGAACCTTTAGGGTGACTGACCAAAATCTTCAATTCAGTCTTAGTGTTTAAAAACTGATGCGAGAGCTAGCCTTCAGGTGAAGGGAAGTGGGAGCTCTAGAGTAGGAGCCGGTATCCTCCTCTGGCCACGGATTTAGAGATTAAACCTAAGATTAACCAATGATTTTCTATGCACTATATCAGGGTAGAAAATTAAAATTGCTCCTATTTGGCACAATGCATATTATAAAGCATATTTCCTATTTGGCACAATGCATATTATAAACATTTATCTCATCTCATTTCACCAGAATTTCTTTGTAGTGGGAAGGATGTTTTTTCATATAAGAAATCTTCATTATATAAATATAGTTAGTAGATTAGTAGTTATTATTCAAAATTTGTATTTTCGTTTTGCTAATAATTAAGTAATTTAGTTTGGTTAATATCTCAACATTTGAAATTAGTGACAGTGATTTCGTTTGGTTTTCTGTAAATTTTCTGTTAAAATTTATCATTGCTAACTTACACCTGGGCTTAAATATTGATATTTTGGGCTTAAATAGAAAGTTCATTTTTACTTGATAATGATATGTATATTTGTGTAGAATCTCATTATTCATAGCCTATAATTATATATATTTTACACAACTTACTTTTCATATAAGGATCAAGTTTTTGGCGTTGTAGTGGTGTCAACTTCATAAATCCTTACATATAAAAACCGGGATCAAGTTTTTTACGCCGTTGCCTGGGAAGGTAACATTTAAATTTAATTAAATTAAATAGTTTTGATAAATTAGAAAATTTAGATAATATATATATACAAAAATATAAAAAAAGAAATTTATTTAAGAGTTTATTTTTAAAGAATTTTACTTTGCTTACTTTATTTTTTTATGCGAAATATTGGATCTGAAGGTTTAGTACCTTACGATTCAGAATTACAATGTACTATTAGAAAAATTCAAAAACAACAAAGAGAAATTAAGAATTTGAAAGAAATGGCAAATAATCTAGAAAATCCAATAAATGAGAATCGACAAAGTCCTTTAAAAGATTATGTGAATCTGACAGCAGATGAACTTCATTTAACTATTCAAAATCTTGATGTTGCTGCTAATTCATTTGAGCTTAAATCTGTTATTATCCAAATGGTATAAAATAATCAGTTTGAAGGATCATCCACTGAAGATCCTAACTTATATTTTGCTAGTTTTCTTGAAATTTGTGCTACATTTAAATATGACGGAGTGTCTAATGATGTTGTTAGGCTTAGACTTTTTCTTTTTTCATTAAGGGATAAAGCCAAGACTTACTTAAATTTATTAGTGCCTGGATCTATTAGAACTTGGGGAGAACTATCACAAAAATTCTTGGTTAAATATTTTCCACCCTCGAAAACTGCTGAAATTTTCCACCCTCGAAAACTGCTAAGCTTAGAAATGATATTACATCTTTTTGTTAGTTTGAAGGGGAATCAATATATGAAGCCTGTGAATGATTTAAGAATATTTTTAGAAAATGTCCACACCATCTTTGCCAGATTGGTTAATAATTCAAACATTTTACATTAGATTAGTAGAATCATTAAGATCTATTATAGATGTTGCTGCGGGCGGATCATTAATGTCAAAACCTTTTGTTGAAACATATTTTTTAATTGAAGAAGTGGCTACTAATAATTTTCAATTGCCCTCTTAAAAGGGAAAAAAGGGAAAATCCAAAGAGATTAGCCAGTATTCATGATTCTGATGCAATTTCAATTTTGGTATCTCAAATTGTTGTTATTTCTAAAAAGATTGATCAAATGGGAGTGAATTATTCTCAAATACCCCCAGTATTAGAGAAAAATTCACTAAGACAGATTATTAATACTCAACCATCTTAGGAAACCTTAAACACTATAAATAATCAAAATAATAATCCCTATTCTAACTATTTTAACCCTGGATGGAAAAATCACCCTAATTTTAGTTGCAATATTTATAATAATTCGGTGAATTCATCTGCAAATCTGAATAATCAAGGAAATCCTAATTTTTGACCTTATTATCCTCCAGGATTTAACTCCAATCCTAACTCACAAGTTAAGGAAAAGAAGTTGACGATGGAAGAAGTGATGTTGAATATGGGAAATCAAAT